GGTGTCAATGAGTGAACTAGCACATTTGCCTAAGTCATTCTTGGAACTCAACTAAAGCAGAAATGCATAGAATAAATCTTCTTGTACAATACTTGGGTTACAACACTAGTTGACAATCTCTCACAAGGAGGTGGGGCCCGTGTAAGCTCTTATTTTATTCTATCCCCAATCAGGCAAGGAGAGGTCTGAATGATCCTGAGAATGCTGTTATTGGGGCTTTTGCTGGTATATTGGCTTCCAAAACCTTTTTAGAATCATTTAGTTATATGGAATTGCTTGACATGCTTCTAGCTATCAATCAAAAATTAAAACTGCAATTTTAGCATTGAATGACTATCTGTCTTCTTGCATTTTACTATCATTTAGAATGATATCATATTGCATGCTGTTCTTTATTTATTTCAACCAACTAGAATGTTAAATACCATTATTTGGTGCCAAACTTCGATGTAACATTAGACTAAATATGAAGGGAAATAGAAAGGAAGATGTGATGAAGCAACACTGGAAAGCATAACTTGTCCTACCACAATGTTGAGCACTCCAAATGAATCAGTAAAGAAGGAAAAATGTTAAATTGTATTCCCGTATGATTGATCTCGCATGGAGCTTGTAATGATGTGAATTTTTTGGACCGGAAAACATATATTTAGCCTTTTCAGGATTCTTAGAACTTTAGGGTTTTTGTTTTTCGAATGGCTTATAACAAGATATATTTCTGGAAATTAGATGTTTCTCTATTCCTGCTTAATTATCCGTTTCTGGGGAAAAACTTTTTCTTTCCTTTTCATTATCAAGGAATTGTAGCTTTTTAGTCGGTTCTATTTTGTAAAGATGAATCAAGAAGGAAAATGGGGTGGCTGACATCCACGGTTGTCAAAAAAATAAAATTGAGACAATATAGCTTCTTGTTATAAAGATCAACTAAAATTGGAAAGGTAACAAACTGCAAATAAAAGCTTTGCCTCTGTAACAATCAAAAAATATTTGACCTTTTTCAAATATATAACCAATTTTAAGTAAAATTTGAGCTCATTAAACATATATTACTTAAACAAATGTTAACAGCCTGTATATAATGGCATCACTACCTATAAGAAGAGAACTTTCAAGCCCTCTCGTGATCTTTTGTTTCTGATTTGCTCCAGCTGTGATTGTTATTTCTATCTCACTCTGGCCATAGATTTTACGTTCATGTAATTCTCGATTGTGATTCCACTTTTTGCTTCAATTTCAAGAACGTCCAGTTGGATTTCAAGTCAGATATAAAATTTAAAATGAATTTGAGCTATGAGCTGAGGAAACCACTGCATGCATTCGGCTATTTACTGTACTCTTATGCTGCTTACTCTTCATTGTTTCTTTGGTAGGTGCTGTAACTGGAGCTATCACCACTCCCCTTGATATGATTAAGACTAGATTAATGATTCAGGTATGGCCAATTTGACTCATCTCCTCCATCTCGTGCTCTTTTTTGTGCAGGTCTCTTTTCGTGAAGGAATCTATACGCATGCAATAGATGCATTTAGCCTTCCTATATAAGCTGGCCGGCATAATTATTACCTCAAGTATCTATGCAGGGATCGACCAACCAATATAAAGGTATCTTTGATTGTGTCCAGAATGTCGTCAGAGAAGAAGGGTCACAGGCTCTTTTAAAGGTAGGAGTTACTCTTGTTTCTTCGTACATAAACAGTTTGGTAGAACCCTTTTTCTTTTGGTCTGTCCCTTTCCACCTGTTAGCGACGTCTATTTTTGCATTCCTTTCCATTGAACCCCACTTAATATGAAGCAAAATTATTGTTCTTGTTTCCTTCTCTTTCTACGTTGTTGGGATTTGGGAGCCATACAAGAAGGTATTACCAGACTAAGGAGGAGGTATAAATAGTATCAATCTGTGACCACCAATCTTCAAATGCCAGAGAAATAGTGATATCTAGTCTAGAAGTTTAGGAGTGGGTGGCACAACACTGTCTAGCGGCTCTAGCCCCTAGCCCATGTCACGTTGGGACTAGAAGTCATGGACCTATATTTGGGATAAAAATAGAATGACATTGCACTCCCTGCTAAAGGTTTTGGGGTATAGCATATTTGTATATGTGGTTCACAAGGAAATCCTTCTTTTTGCTTATTTCAGCA